ACACTTTCCGCAGAATCACTACAAGTCATGAAATGGATGATCGACGCATCTTTTGCGGTGCATCCAGATTTCAAGAGCCATACTGGCGGCACTCTGTCCTTTGGAGGAGGTGCAGCTCAAGTGATGTTGAAGAAGCAAAAGCTAAACAGCAGAAGTAGTACGGAAGCGGAACTGATTGCTGTTGACAATGTTGTCACGATGATACTATGGACAAAGTTGTTCATGGAGTGGCAAGGGTATCCGATCAAGAAAAATATCTTGTATCAGGATAATAAAAGCGCGATTCTACTTGAAGAGAATGGTCGCAAGAGCACGGGCAAAAGAAGCCGAGCTATCAATATTCATTATTTCTTTATCACAGATCAAGTTGAGAAAGGAAATGTTAAGATCAAATACTGTCCAACTGACGATATGATTGCGGATTTGATGACTAAGCCATTGCAAGGTGAGAACTAAGCCATTGCAAGGTGAGAAGTTTCGCAAGTTCAGGGATTTGATTCTTGGTCCACAGGACTAGGTCAGACAAGTATGTATATATTCAAAATGAAAATACAAAACAAAAATAAACAGTGAATGAGAGCATGTCCCATTGCTGCTAATGGTGATTGTCACAATGGCAGGAGTGTGTTGGGATATGACGAAATATGATTTTTTACGTTCCAAAGAGAAAATATTCAAGTACAAAGTTTTCGACACTTACAATCGGACTTTGATCGTGATGTCGGGATTCGACGCAAGTATGCGGGACGCAAGTCTGTCGGACAATCTATATCCACACAAAAAGGGAATGACCCTATACAAGTGAGATATCAACGTTGTGTACAATGCAGTAGGGAATAATACAAGATGTCCCAAAGTACTGCATCCAACACAGAATTGTCGTAGAGGTCGAATCAAGTTCTGTAAACAAGGGATTTTCGTTGAACCTACTTTTGTGATTGAATCATCAATTCAAGCCAAATATTAATCAAATAGGAACAATTTCACTCAAAGTATACCTAGACACAGGAGAACTATTGTTGTGAAAGTGTTGTACAGTTGATTACAAATTTAGATTGCAGAGAGTTTGTTCTGAGCGCTAAAGGCACTCACGATAGAGCACATTTTGCTTTATTCTAACAAAATCGACCCACGGACAACCAGTGGCAAAAAGAGCCACAGTCACAATCGAAATTGGCTATGGGAGATGCCTCTTGGCACACAGTCAAAGAAGCCTTGGGTTGGAACTGGGGAGCGACAACAAAGGCATTGCAATTGAAAGAGAAACGAGTGAGCAAGGCCCTGTCACTCCTGGGCAAGGTCTTGGATTGCAAACGCGTCTCCCTGAAACGATGGCAGCAGGTGTTAGGAGTCTTACAAAGCAGCCAGGAATGTCGGGCAGTGAGGGAGATTTCTCTCTGCTGCAGGATGCACTGATTCGACATGTGGATTGTAGGGTGCGGTTGACTCCTGAGGTCCGTGAGCAACTGGAAATCTTCCAAGATTTTCTTCATGGCCATGCAAAGCGCCCCACAACACTGGAAGAGCTGGTACCAGGCGTTGACTTACACGTTGGCGCTTGTGATGCGGCAAAGTCGGGAAGGGGAGGAGTGTGGTTCACAGATGGTGGAGAGGCCATCGTCTTGCGCGAACCATATCAAGAAGCAGTGAAAAAAAAGGTCATTTCAGACCACAATCTGACAGGAAAACTTACCAACTCAGACTTGGCGCTGGAGGGCACCGTTCTCCACCATTTTGTCCTTGGAAAGACAGCCCAGGTGGAACGCAAAACCACTTACACTGGCTGTGACAACACACCAGCAGTATCGTAGCGCACAGAAGGATCTTCCACCTCTCGAAAGGCAAGAGCAAGAATATTACGGTTAGCGGCAGGATTACAGCGGGAACAAAGAGCACATCATTGTATTGGGCACTTGTCTGGAACAAACAATCGAATGGCCGACAATGCTAGCCGACTGTGGCACCTGTCTGACGACGAATTTGTCTCATATTTTAATCGCACGTATCCACAGATCAACTCTTGGCAACTGTACAGGATTCCGAACGCCGTGAACTCCTTGATGACATCCGTGTTGTTGAACTCGGAATCAAACGCGGAGTCTGTCCTTCAAGAGTTGCAAAGGCACACTCTGTCTGGACCACATGGGTTGCCTTCTGCGACAGCCTCACCCTTGATCCAGGATTATCAGCGGTCAACGATCCCCTGCTCATCGTCCTCCTCTTTGGAACCCAATGGCGACATGGAAAAATTGCCCCCAGTAAGAGACAGGTCCGGGGTCGAACGGCTGAAGATGCCATGCGCCAGGTGGGCCAGGCCTTTTCCTCATTGGGACTGCTCGATCCGAGGATGAACCGATATGCACCAGGAACAATGGACTTTTGTTGGACACGGCTGCTGAAAAGTTGGAAGAAAGAGGGTCCAGCAGCACAACGAGTACGCCTATTGCCCAAGTCCTTGTTAAGGCAAGCATCAAAGCTCGCCTCAAAACCCACAAGCACACATGCCGCAAAGGCAATGAACCGATTGATGTGGTTGGGTTTTTTCTTTTTGTTACGTCCTGGCGAATTTCTGTCAAAGGCGGGAACACAATTTCCATTCAAGTTGAAGCAAGTGTTTTTTTGTATCAACAACGCAGAATTTTGTGGCGACGTCATTCCCCTTCACCTCCTGGACACGTCACTTGTGACATTCGCCAGTCTGATATTTGACAAACAAAAAAATGTGGTACCAGACAAAAAGATCGGTTTGGGCACGTCATTTCATGGGGACAATCCCACAGCTACGCTGATTGCCATTGCCCGGCACCTTCAACAAAGTCGACACACAACTGGCGAATGACGACAAAATATTTGAGAGCAGTTGCACTCTCCGTGGAGGTCAATTGACCTCCCACAATTGGTGCTCTTTGATGCACCGGGGCTACCGCGCTTCTCGAAGGCAATATCCCGACTAGTCTCATCAAACTACTCGGTCAGTGGCGCTCAGATGAAGTTTTTTGGTATCTTCACACCCAGTCCAAGCCTGTGATGCAACGCTTGACCGACGTTCTTGTTGATCACATTGGGCACTAGCGTTTTCTTCCACCCACCACACCCTGGACGGCAACAAGATGGCCGAATGGAGGAAACCAGCGCTTGCGCTGGGGGATTGGGGGCCAACAGCAGTAACAACTGTCAGCCCAAAAACATCATTGAAACTATTTTAGGCCCAGTTGGAGTCTGCGAAATCCAAAGCAATTGAGAAGGATGAGCAATCGCTGCAGGTGTTGGCTAGCAAAGGACGGACGGATCGGAACGCCCAAGTACGTATGCAAAGAAGGTACAGTAGCAGGACAGTGGAAAGCTACGTACCAAAGAGGTTGTGAAAGATGTTGGTGAATGAGCTGCAGCTCAGATGCAGCTCATTCCTTTTGAAAAGACTCCTCCGTATCTCTCATTTATCCATGTAAAGAAATCCTCGAGAACTCTTTGTTCCATGTGGCTTGCTAGCACATCATCCACATGAAACCTGATAGTCAATTGCTTTTTGTTGACCATCATATTCGCAATGCACGGATCGTATACATTAAACACAAATCCGTATTCTTCCAGCGATGCCCTCAGATTTCGGTACCATAGCAACGAAGCCTGTAACATCCCATAAGTAGCACGGAGGATCACAACATAGATCACTCGACGTCCATTTTCGATTGCTACAAAATCCCGATACGTCGGATCTAGGTCAATCATGTAGTCAACCAGCAGTCCAGTAATTTTCATTATTACTCGATCTTCTCCTTCTTCCTGCTCGGGCATCAATGTTTGGATAAACGCTTTAGGTATATCCATTGACATGACGTTTCTACCTTCATGGGCATCAATTACACCCGTGCAGATAATAGCTTCATGCAAAGCTGTGGGACTTGCAGTGTCCTCACGAGACAACCAATCCCGGGTCTTGTTACCTTTGAATACACAGCGTCCTTTGGTTGTCACGCCATCATTCTTTTCGGCCAGTAGCATCATTGCATCCACGGCCTTCTTTCTTTCGGTCGGTCTTAGTTTCTCAGTACTGATCGGTGTCCAGCAACTGCGCTTGATCAGTTGGTCATGTTCTTTCACGGCCGCGTCTTTACCTCGCTCCTTGAATATCCTTAGTCCTTTATTCAGATAGTATTGCTGAATGAACGAGACTCCATCTTGCCCATCAATACCACCGTTGACACCCTCACGTATTTGTTGAATAACACGAGCGACTACCAACTCTTCGAAAGCGTCATATTCGCCTTTGTTTGTGTTCCCGACTTGTTGGAATGCCAAATTGGGCATGCGTTCCCGGATGGAACGCTCGTACTTATGGTTCCTTTGCAACTGTGCTCCATTTCTTCGCGTGTCAAATTGTTTCTTGATCGCCTGATACAACGAGACTCGGAGTCTTTTCATTCGTGCTTTTCTTCTCATCGCACGCCTGTTTCTCAAAACGTTTGGCACAGGCGGATTCCTTCTTTGTAGGTATGCCTGTCCAAACTTGATTTCTCTCTTCTGTATCTCTCAGTGGGTCTCATTTTTACCCCTTGGGAGAAGTAGGATCGATTGTGTCTTGGGCGAAGTACCCTTTTCGCTCCAACCTCAACACCGTCGTCACTGTAGCTTCTCACAATTCCTTCGGTGTCGGACTCATTATCATCTGTGTCTGCGAATCTCACTCCTGCACGAGCGGCACCATCTTCCTCCTCTGATTCAACTGGCACATCTTCTTGTGTGTCGTCATCAAATTCGAACAGTACTTCTTCTTCGTCTGGTTTTCCAAGTTCCACTAACTCAGCTGGTAGTTCGTCTGACATTTGCCTCGTTTCTTCATTGTCTAGTTCAGACTCGTATTCGTCTTTGTAGTCCATGTCCTCATTGACAGTTATCCATTCGTGTTCTTGGTAGTCTTCGTCCATCAGATCTTCAGCATCTTGTTTAGCCTTAATCTTCTTGAACATTCTGTCGAACATTTCGTCCTCTAGCTCATCTTCATATTGATTCGCCTCGCTATTGTATCTTGGGTTCCTGTCCCTGTCGAACCTCGCTTCCATGATGTCTGCCTTAGCATCCATTAGTAATTCATCAAGTTCGTCATCTGGAATATTTTCATTTTGGAGGGTTACATCACCCAGTCTTTCGATTTTGTTTACTGGTACGTAGTTTTCATCCCACAGTTCATCTGGGTCCACTCCTTCGAGCAAATCACCATCGAGGATTAGCTTGCCATTACGCTTGGAATAGGTGCGTAATTCCGTCACTCCTTCCAGTCTTGCGTCTTCTTCTATAATCTTGATGACTTGGTCAGTCATCGGAAGCACCTTGATCTTCGCACGTTGTGCCTTGCACTTTGTTTTCAGATCATAGATACGGTGTCCTTCTTGAATATCGTCGGTGGGTCCCATGTAAACACCTTCGATCGTTTGGGTAGCCATATTGTTCTTGGTGTCATGGCCATATCCATGAACATATGCACCAGTCTCAGCGACAAATTCGTCAGAGGCATCAACCATTCGTTGATGCATAATCATATGCAGGCTGTAGTATGCAGACAACCCACCCTTTGCCGGATAGTAGTTGGATATTTTTGCGACTCTTGTCATAAGTGCCACAGCTAACTTCTTTGGAATCGCCTTGAACAGTGCATTTAAATGTTGATTATTTCGTTCCGCTTTTGGATCATGTTTGGCTCTGCTGGCGTAATTCATATGAACTTCAAGTTCGTCTTTCACGGGCTCAAATACCGGACGGAACTCCCCATCGCAGTAAATCTTTTCCACTGTCATACAATGCCGTTTTGGATCGTGAAGCCAAGGGTATGTAGCACCGGTATCTCACACTTCCATCAATGGTCCTGAGTCCGAATGAATTGTTAACAAAAACAAGATCAATGTGCAGCACTACACTCAGATTGTGCATTAATAACTCCTTTGGTATTTCTATCCACGTCATCCCGCACTCCTTCAGGCGTGGGACGCTTCGTCTTTCCTTTTAGGACCGAAGAACCAGGTCCATATATCTTTTCAGCAATGATTGCATCTTCTTCATTCACATTGCAGTTCTTGAACAAACCAGATCTTACTGCAATACAAAACGCTTGCACGCCTGGTGCACCAGCCATATGATACACTGATCGTGCGCGATTAGCCCGCTCAACTTGTTTATCAGTGAAGCCTTCGATATTCTTCCGTACCGTCTGTATGCCACAATAATCGGAATCGGAATAGCTAATTTTTAAAATTCTACCACAGAAAATAACACCAGATTTATGGCATTCAGTGTGTGCGACACCAATCGCGTCGCAGTAACAATTTCCGCATTCTCTGTATTCACATTCAGAGTATTCGGATCCTTCATCACTCTCTGCCCTACCATTGGGCACAAAAGTATACAATCCGTTTTGATGTACATACTTCATTTGCTGTTCCCCCTTTGTAACGATGAAGGAGTTTTCAATATCAGTGTCCATAACGACATGGAATCCAAGCTTCACAAGCTCGGATAAACTATCAAGGTTACATTGTGCTTCAGTATCAAGCAAGCAAGTGTGTCCTTTGATAATACTTGATTCGACCTGCTGATACAGATCACGTTGGCCAGTGTTCGTACCGTAGTTGAACATGTAATCCAGGTCAGACACAGTGCCCGGTTTGGCATAATCTTGTTCATTCGTAGGCTGAACGTAGATCCAGAATCAAGATGCACACCAAGAGAGATATCCCAGTGCTTACTTCCATTAGACTTGAAAGGTTTCTTGTTGTCTTTGGTCCATTGAGAACAGTGCTTCAATGAATCCATCTTCGAGGTTGACTTGTAGATCTGCATGTTCAAGCTTCCATTGCTGACCATGCTGTCATCGTCCTTGAAAGTACTGGCAGCTTCTAGTTGTGCTTGCCATTTCTTCATCAGCAACTCCCCCCTGTCTTCAGTGGAGACTGTTTTCTTCTTCAGAATCGGACTTACACGTACTTGTGTAAGGTTCCATCCTGTAATCCTACCATCAGATCGTCCATCAGCGACAGATCTGCCTCGTACCACATAAGAACCGGTTACATCAGTAGTACCAGAAGTGCTATTTCCACTCCTGTCAACAACAGCTCGTTGCATATTGCTTCGATGTTGTTGACCAGTTGATTGCGTTCCAGTGACGCTAGACGCGGCATCCGACTGCGCCGCAGATGCAGTCGCAGGGACTTGGAGATTGGCTCTCCCCGCTCGTAGTAGTAACAGCATCACATGATCTACCTTGAGGTCCAACCAATCAGTTTCATTGCTTAACTTATCTTTCATTGCTTGAGTGATGAAATGCTTGGTGATGATCGCAGCCACGGTATATTGGTTTGTGGTGTAGATCACTTCTCTCTTGTCAAACTTGACATTTAGATTTTCCCAGTTCCGATCAAGTTGAGCCTGTCTCGAACTCTTGAAGAACTCGGAGTCGGTCTTTCCTGGCTTGTAGACCGTTTGAGTGCCTCTTAAAGCCTCAAAGTCCACACGGGCCATATTTCTCACACTCCAGATCATATCTTGAGTGTAGTCCAGGCTCTTGAGCGCAATGGCCTCAACCAAGTATATTGTCACCTGCTCGTGAGTGAAGTCAGGATTGTGAGGATGGTATTGCTTTGGTCTATCGGCCTTCTTGCCGTGAGACCCTCGACCAGTCTGCTGTGCAGATCTTCCTCCACGGCCACCTCGACCGCCTCTGCCTTGGTTTCTTCTACCAGGCATATTGCTCTGTAGTCCCTCCTACTTTGCAGTGTTCAAAAATTACCTTTGTTGATCGACTGTCAGATAATCAACTCCGTAGCTGTAATGAGAGCCTCAACGCTCTAGCTACCTCTGGAGTATACTGAGCTCGAATCTACGTCGGCTATGGATTGCCTACAATAGGAACAGGTGCCAGTGATGCTGGGCTTCAACCTGCGGATGAACAGTCTCACCGCTTCCTATTAGATCTTATTCTACTGCTATTCTTGCCAGAAGTCGATCAACAATGATCTTCACAAGCAGGTACAAAAAATCTCTTCCGGAAGCCATCTGTGTCAGCTCGCACCAGCTGTCGCGGCGTATAAAGCACATACGCACATGTTCTTCACGAACTAGTCACAGAGTAGATCTACATTCAATACTTATCCATCTCTGTACATACTCGAACCGTACTCCTGTCCGTGTTCGATATCACAAATGTCCGACTTCACTGTCTGACATGCTCAACTGTTCTTTTATCTATTAAGATCCCATTTCACCAACAGTTGTAGGGTCTGCTGGCTGATTGTAGTCTTTGATTTGACATGGATCTTGAGCCACGGCCATGCACCTGATTTGCTTGAAGTCAAACGTTTGGCAAAAAAAGGAATCAGACAATATCTCAATGAGAGCCTTTGTTGATTGTAACTTTTAAAACAATTGGGATACTCACATCTATTTGACATTCAACTGGGAAAAGACCTCATTGTATGACAGGCTTTGTATGTGTAACAAGAGCTCCAGCAAAATATGATGCTTGATTCTCATTTTGGTGATTTTGGAAATTCGTGGATAGGGTGAAGTGCAATCTGGGAAATGATCCGTCTAGTACCTGACTCTACAGGCTGGTATGGCCAGAGATGATACGCAAATGATCTGTAAATGATCTGTCAAACTCACATACATGAAAATGTTCCCAAATGATCCGTCAGATGATCCGTCATACGGATCATTTATATATATTATACATTATTGAATACTTTTACTATATGATTTTGCACTTTGTCTTATGCTTAGTCTTGGAGTCTTGGCGAGTGTCATAAATTTGGGCTACGGATTCCACCAGTGTGATCTAGCCGTGAAAAATGATTGCCGTGAAAAATGATTGCCTTACCTGTGTGCATCTCAAGAATCCTTGGAGTCTCTGAATCTCATCAAGATAAGGGACAGCAAGTTGATTGAAAAATATCTGCGCATCAAAGGTTGCTTGATGCTCACAAACAAATTGCTTGCCTTTATCAGTGAGGAGAGTCGTGGTGAAGACTTGATACATGAACGCCTGCTCACGGTCAAAGAGGTCCTTTTCATCAACAGTTTGTGGGTGGTACTTGTGATGAAGGACATTCTGCAGACGGTAAGTGCGACAGATGGCTGCAAGATTACGATTGCAGTTTTCCCATTGCTTGTCATTGCTAAAAGTAGGGAAAGACGACAGGTCTTGTCTGATGCTTCTATCAAATTCATCAGCAGGGGTACGACAACTGGGTTTCTGGATAATAGGTTGTGGAATAGTTCTATTACCAAAATTAAGAACTCTCCAAATGCTCTATAGTCGAGTACACTTCGATAGTTAATATCCATGCAGTTGTCAGGGTTGAAAGGATTGTTGTGGTCATGTTTGCGGTAGTACACATATCCTTGGATGACCTTGTTGAGACTGCGGATGGACAGTGGTACCAACGCAAGTTGGTCATCTAGAGAGTCCATCGCCACATCGGTCATAGCCATGAGGTCAATGAAGCAGGTAATTTTAGCATGCATCAATGCTTAAACAAGATGGGCAGCTGGCCCACACGGGATGGGCGGCTGGCCCACAACGCCAGTCGCACAGTGGGCCATTGACCCACAAGCCAGTCAAGCCGCCTGGTCATCTGTTCTTGTTCTGCGGAAAAGATAAAAGGGAACTTCCTTAGTATTTTGGCGTGTGAGTGATTGTTGTTCTTTTTTCATTTGGCATCAGAAATCACGCTTCGCACGCTACTTCTGACATCCCACGGCCAATGGCTTTGCTGTGACAAGCCGACTATGACAACTAAATAAAAATAAAATCTCATGATTCAATTGGTAAATGCGTGTGATTTGACTAAATGGACTACAGTTCCCGGCGTTCCAGTACATTCCGGTACATTTTAGTACATACAGTACAGTGAGATATACACTAGGAAGTTCCGGGTATGTCCCAAGTATCTGCTAGCTTTTATTCGTACAACAACCATGGTGCACTTTTGCTCAGAAGTCTTCTTACAGACTTCCAGACGCGCCGTATCCACTTTTGAATTGCTCATGAAGATTTTGCAAGAGTTCTGACTCTTCTGTGCCAGGCGAAGAACGAAGTGCAGATCTAGTATCGAGCTCTTCCGTGTTGTCATCCATACAGTAAGCACGGACAAAAGAGTGAGAAGCAAATACTTCAGAAGGGCCAAACGTAATCTCGCTAGTCAACGTGCGAAATGTATCACAGAATCCTCCAAATGCATCTTTTGCAGGAATGCGAAGTACTCTGCTAACCACCTTCTTCTTTGCCAGCTCCCTGATTGCAGAATGGCCTAGGGTAAGGTCCTTGTCATCGGAGACAGCGGTAGACCCGAACACAACCAGCAAACACAATGCTCCAGGGAAGAATTCAAAAACTTCCTTGTCATTGCTTTCTTCAATTCTCTTGAATCTCTCTGTCATCCGCTGGCACT